CCCTTCTATTGTTGTGCGAAACTTGATTGCGGCCTTTCGCCCAGCGATTAAGTTGAACAACAAGGAAGGAGTGAATTTTAAGTTGTCTTGACGACCCGTGGTTAACCTGATTAGGTAACAAACATTCGAATATTTATCATATGCATGATGAGAAACAAGAGTCATGTTAAACTTGAAAAATGTGATTATCACTGTAAATAAAAAATAATGATCACTGGGAAGAACCAGAAGACAAAAGTTACTTACGTCCGAAGGTCTATACCACTGACCGTTGGCAGCAAGTAGCAGCGGAAATTCAAAAATCTTTCGAAGTGCAGCATACCGTGTTTCGTTTTGTGAAGGCGGGTTCGATCGGCTTGCGGAGTGACTGTTGGAGGACAAAACAGTGGGATGCGCTTGGGTGGGTGGAACGCAAGGCCCGGTGAGCAACAGGAGCCAATGGTCCAACAGTGCATACCATTGACCCAAACGACGTCCGAAATAACACCACTGCTTTAGCGACCATGTGACCTGACCATCACGAACTGCTTTTACTTGAGGTCGGAGAGATAACACTTCGTCCAGCGAGGATGTGAACGGAACCTGTAGGATTAAACGGGTTGCACACAAGAATAATAGTGCATGAGATATACCGGTGCACTTCAGAGCCCCCACAAGTCATATTCCATAAACAACATTAGCTTCGTCACAGCTGGTTTCAGGTTCCCAATCAAACTTTGGTAGAGGACTGGACTTTCAATTACTTCTTGTATCTGCAGTAGTTACAATCAGAGATATCGAATTCGGCATTTGAGAATGACATATATATATACGTGTGTGTGTCAAAGTTATTTTTTGTATTTAAATAATCGTAAATCAGGTTATGCTGTGAACACCGTGTGGTTTTTTACAGTCATGTTCAGTATGCATTAACAGGGTGTAGAGAGATAGATAAGGGACAAGCATAGTCAACATATGACGAGTCATCGGACGCGGTGCAGAGAAATTCCCTTTTGTGGAGAATACTTATCAGCACCCCAAAACGACGACGAACCTCGTCACTACCCACTACATGCCCCCCTCCCCACTAGACACAATGTTTGGAGGACATGCAAGGCCAAATACGGAATGAGTAATGTCTTCAGGGCTTATTTCTAGGAGTGAAACACTAAAAACCGCAGAGATGTGCACTCCTTCCTCGAGTGAAAATCGAATGACTTTTTGGCATTACATGTGTTGAAGGTTGACAGAAGCTACACGAGCTTTGCCGGTCTTGGTATGATCTCGTCCGAAATACGATATCCAGCTGTAATCAACGACCCATACGACTAAGGACTTTCAATTACTTCTAATTAATCACCATAAGGAGTTTTTTTCGGTGCTGCAAAGAACACAGCATATGTCGATTGACAATTAGTTCAAAGTGTATTGCAGTGGTTGTGTATTGTCATACAAGGACATATTTTTAATTGCAAACTTTTCCCGAATAGGAGTTCAAACTCACCGTTGGACAAAACAGGGCGTGATTTAGAGTATCCGCCATGAAAACTTTGAAGGGATGAGGATGAAGGGAGTTCTGCCTCAATTGGCCAAAGACGGTAACGAATAGCGAAAGTGGATTGGTAGTTTAAGAATTGACCATTAAGCTACTGGAATTTATTTCATGCCAACACTATGTGATAAATGATGCGAGACCTACAACACTACACGTTCCTAAGCAAACGAGCAAAGCTCGGATGTGCCGCACTATGGATTCACGAAACAGGACGACAGTAGTACAGCAGAGATTCCAGGGTTCTTCAAAGGCAAGTGCTTCAAGTTGGTATTGCATAATGAATCAATTTCTTGTAATACTTCGATAAACTTTGCTTAGCTGATACACGAAAGCGACGGGGGGGGGACCATACCAAACACGTACTCCAAGTATATCCACAAAAAAGGAACGATGCTCTGCGCCGTAACAGTCACTCAAAGCGAACACTCGTGTACTAGCCCGATCGACGAGGACCGGCGTGGAGTGATCGGAAGTGACAGTGGGTTGGAGCACGCACTGGTCCGCATGAGGGTTCACTGAATCACGATCATCATCCTCGTCTTCATCATCTTCACCATCCTCCTCGTTGGATTCTAGACGCCCCGATGAAGTGTCCATCGGAGGATCGGGCAATCGAGAACGAACCCAGCAGACCTGATTCGGTTTGATCAAATGGTAAACAGGACTACTGGATTCGCTGATTGACCCTGATCTACTGCGTCGTTTAGAGCCAGATGCTACTGGTCTAGAAGATGTCTGTTTCTCCGCGCACACGGGACAGATTGGGGTGTGCATTTTCGCGCCAGAAGAGTGAGAAACGGGGTTATCTGAGCGTGCACGTTTGGTTCGAGTAGACTGGCTTCTCGGCTCATCCACATCCGGGCACAATACAAGAATGCAGGGGGATTCTGGATTGGCAAAAACGGAACGTAACCACACACTGTGATCCGACAAATCCATGCCAGATGTAGACTCTGACGGAGCACAACGACTCGCGGCACGATAAAGTTTTAGCATAAAATCCGGTTTAAGAAACGCGTGCGTCCCAGGGCTAGCTGCGTCACTTAATGTGGGCAGCAACTGCATCAGGGACTGGAACAAAGGGAAGATGAGAATGAATTATGAACTCTGATTTGGTATGTACATCAATGTTAAACGTTAACCTAATAAAAAATGATCACATAGTTGAGAGATTATCATCAAGCTGGTGGCAGACATCCGAAGGACAATTTAAGTAAGGGAAATCATATTACATTAGAGTAACGGAAGACTTAGTTTGATCATATGGTTGATTTCATCCCGTGTAGAAGAATTGATATATTTTATGATTTACACACGTCTGAGGCCAGACTGTGCGCCAAATAAATCATGGCATAATAAAAAGTAAAACGTTACACGATTTGCATGTGGGCCGAATTCAGCCAGGGTGCCCAGGCCAAGGCAATCGAGTTTTCTTGAGGAATCCACCACCGGAGCCTTCGGTTAGAGAAAGCGCAAATGGAAGTTAAGAAGCATTGGACAACTTTTTTGACCCGGTTGGACCTCATCAAACTAAAACCTCCATTTCTCTCATCTAACATCCAATCAGGCCGAAGTGTTTTCAACGGGGTCATAACGATAGAGGCTGGTGCTGAGATGTGAGCAGCACGATGTCTGCATTAAGCTTACAAAGATGGTTTGTGTTATATCTTGTGTAGGCAAAATAGAAAATGGTTCAATCAGCTGTCCGGTGGTTGAGTGGGTAATATATATTTGTTCTGCCTGTCAGGTCCCGGGTTTGATCAGCAGTCGGGTCGATGAATTCGCAATGCTCATGAAACCCAAACAGGTCGAACAGCTGTCCAGTGTTTCCTAGCTTTTCAGTAGAAGTTCTATTTGCTCTGTACAAATGCCATGTCCGTGAGAATGGTAAACGTAANCAGAAATATTCAGTGTCTTAGCGAGGCAGGAGAAGGTGAAGCGGCTAACTTCGATATACTAGGCAACACAATGTACAAGGGTATGTGAGAGAGATAACATAATCCTAAAAAGGAAATACATGACTTCAGTAAACAGCACCATGAGAAAAAGGGTTAATTAGTACAGGTAAATGTGTGCATGGGATTTAGCGAGCTGACAACTGGTTCTGGTTTGCAGAACGACGGATCCATGTATAGGCATTATCCACGAATGACATTAGATTCCTAAAGGAAGTTAGCTGAGAACATGTATGATACCAATATCACTAGGGTTGAGTAGTTATTTATAACCACTGATCCGGACGGGTTAAGCTTAAACACAACACCGCAACATAGATCTTCATTCTTTTCTAGTTGGATAGTGATTCTAGGGTCCATTTCATCGTGCACTAAAGCGGTTAAACTGGCTACGATAAATTCACTCCAGGGTCATACTTGGTCAGGCTAAGAAATAGCGCAAATGAATGACTAACTTCGAAAGTCGACCGTTCCAAATTGTCGGCCAGTGTCAATGCTTTGGTAAAGACTTCTAGCGGGGGATTCTGTGTGATATATGGTCCCGGCGCCCAAATGCGACAAACACGTTGCAACAGATTGTGGAGTTCTTCATCATGCCATCGACGAAGTTCACCAAACGTAACAGG